CTCTCACTATAAAAACTCAATAAAATTCTAACCATCTTTGAACTTTTTAGAATAATACTGATTTACTTGGAAAAGAATAAAATCCAATCTAATTAAAATTAGATGTTCCGAATCCGCTACCGCTTCTCAAACAGTTTGAGAAGCGGTAGCGGATTCGGAACATCTAATTTTAATTAGATTGAATAAAATCAAAAATAAAATTTAAAAAATTGTTAGCACGGCAGAAAAATTTGTAGGTCATGGACTTGGAAGCTGACTGGAATTTCAGATATTTTCTTTATATCTTGGATAAAAAATAAATCGGTCCATTACAATCAGTCATTTAGACTCGCGCTACAACGCTGTATATCTCAGATTCGTTTACTTTGAAATGATAATTAATCAAAGTGAGATGTAATTATGTAATTAATCAATCTATCAAAGTGAGATGCAATTATGTAATTAATCAGTTAATCAAAGTGAGATGTAAAGACCATTTAGGGAATAAACCCCAATTAAAAGAGTTTAATACCTATCTAGTTTAATCAGTTGACAGTTATAATCTAATATACTGAGACGAAAAATGGTTTGTCAAAATTAGAGAATGTAAAACACATTCAATTATGCAGGAACCACAAATGAAATTTACATCGCTTACCGTAGACTTCTAAAATATTAATTGATGAATGAAAAAAAGAGCATTCTTCAAATACATTATTTTCAACTCTAGAATACTTAATAATTAAAATTATTAGATGCATTTTTGGAAATAGGCATCCAAAATAAAATAAAATAAAATAAAAAAAAAAACAAAAAAAAAAAAAACGTTTGACCTAGTTTCACGTTTAGCATGGTAAAAAGCTCACAATGGATATTTGATCCAATTTACTCCCCACTCAATATGGCTACCGATGAGACTAGATCAGCCGCGGTATTCTTGACAATTGTCTGCAAATATGGCTGAATGTAGCTCTATCATACATCATACCAATTTTGATGAAATCCACCCATGACAAACACTGGAACACTGTCTCCCATTTGAGAAGGGTCTTTTTGTAATAATGCACTCGTGATTCTAAATGCTGCCTGTCCTCTAAAAGCCTTTGACTTTTTTGAACTTCTAGACAACCTCTCGAAATATCAGCAAATTGCTGCCCCCTTTCTATCTCAGTTCTTTACCTTATTTTTTTGTCAATATGATCTCCCTATATAATTTTTGTGTGCATTGTACGTGGGAAGTTCCTGTAAAATATACAATAAAATAATAATAAAAGATATATGTAGCTAAAAGTATAATCTTTCTGTATACTAGTATGTCGTAGAAATTTTTTTTTTAAAAGCACACGCAGATTTTAGCAGCTAATTGCTATGATAAATAGGGATAAGCAATAATATATGTCTTGAGACTGAACCCCCCCCCCCTTTTCAAATATAAGTTTGGGATTTGTGAAAGGTATATTTTCATCGTAATTATTTGACTTCTTGCATATATATATATATATATATATATATATATATATATATATATATATATATATATATATATATATATATATATATATATATATATTTAAAGCAAAAATATTCATTTTTTTGCATTGATAATCATCTTGCTTCGCTAGCATAATATTTTTCTGAAATATTTCCCAAATGAATAAAAGAAAAAAAAGCAATATTCTTTAATGTTAAACATTATCTTTACCAGTGTATAAAAACTCAATAAAATTCTAATTATCTTTGAACTTTTTATTATAAAATTGATTTACTTGAAAAAAAAATATATAATCCAAAAATTTGTTAGTCCGGTAGAAATATATAATCAAAAAAAATTTTTAGCATGGCAGAAAAACTTGTAGGTCGTGGGTTTGCAGGCTGACTGGAATTTCAGATATTTTCTTTATATCTTGGATAATGAATAAATCGGTTCATTACAATCAGTCATTTAGACTCGCCTTATAACGCCGGATATCTCAGATTCATTTACTAATCAAAGTGAATTGTAAAGACCATTTAGGGAATAAACCCCAATTAAAAAGGTTTAATATCGGTTTTGTTTAATCAGTTGACAGTTATAATCTAATATACTGAGACGAAAAATGGTTTGTCAAAATTAGAGAATGTAAAACACATTCAATTATGTAGAAACCACAAATGAAATTTACATCGTTTACCGTAGACTTCTAAAACATTAATTGATGTATGGGGAAAAAAGAGCATTTTACAAATACGTTATTTTCAATTATCAGCTCAAGATAAGTCACAAAACTTAATAATAAATAAGATGCATTTTGCAAATGGAAGCCCACAATCCAAAAAAAAAAAAAACAAACAAACAAACAAAAAAAGAAAAAAACAAAAAAACAAAAAACAAAAAAAAAAACAAAAAAAAAAAAAAAAAAAAAAACAAAAAAAAAAAAAAAACAACAACAACAACAACAAAAAGAACTGAGACCTACTTTCATGTTAAGCAAGTTAAAATCTACAGTAATATTAACTCAAAATGGATATTTGATCCAATTTATTCCCCACTAAATATGGCTACCGATGAGAGATCAGCAGAATATTCTTGACAACTGTTGGCAAATAGGGTTGCTTGTAGCCTATCATACTAATTTTGATGAATACCAGCCCAATCACAATGTACTTGTGTGATTCTAAATTAATGCCTGATCTCTAAAAGCTTTTTTGAACTTCCAGATCACTCTACTGAGCAAATTACTGTCCCTTTACCTTGTTTTTGGGTCAGTGTGATTCCTGTATATTTTTTATGTGCAAGTAGGTGGGAAGTTCCGGTAATACATATTGTTCTTGCAGTTGGTTTTAATATCTGTTCACTTATGATTTGGCACAAAATTTAACAGTTAACCGTTTGCATTTAAAGAAATTATTTTTAATTATTTCCAAAAGCATGAACCATTCTATCTTAATTCGTCATGATCCATTTATTGAAACACAAGGAACTCAACTAAATTTTAGTTAAATGTTACAGTGCATGCACTTTTGAATAAAATATGGAGATAACGAACAGTAATCAAGCTCAAACGTCCATTGAAACAATACAAATCAGGAGCAGATTAAACACAGACCTCTAAAAACATCAGAGGTGGGATCAGGTGCCACGGAGGAGTAAGCATCACCTGTCGACCGGTCACACCAGCCGTGTGCTTATTGTCATGCTCGGGCAAACGGAAAATACGTAGACAAGTCGTTGTTTAAAAAATGCCTATCAATTAGTATGAAAAACATCAGTTAGCAGTCGACTTAAAGATTATCCATAGATTGTATTTGCTGACAAGGTCAATGTATCGACCGTATAACTTGCAAAATGATAACTTTAATCGAGACTGTTGATATGCTTGTTTCATCAACAATGAAAAACCAGCTGTCTATGATGTCAAAAAGCCTAGACTTTAAATTATAGTGGGGAATGGTTGTATAAAGTATTGAAAAGTCATACGTTTTGAAGCTTTTGATTTTGGTAAAGTTTTGTGATTTCAAATTTTCTCAAAGTTCCTTGGAGTTTTTATGTATCCATATCTGATTTACACCACTTCTCGAAATTATTGTTTTACATTTACAGTAATCCTGAAGTGTCTCCTTCACTGCTGTTAATATTTTAGTGAGAAGTAAAGAAAGAGGCTTGATAGAACATTTACCAGAACCCGCTATGTACCTTTGTTTGTAAGGATGTTTATGAAGCTTAGGAATCCAGTATAGGTATGGTAATTAAAATTCATTTTGATTGTTGGGAATATTAGAAATATTAAAAACTGACATGATATGATTTTGAAGAATTTCCTCCAGAAATTTCCTCCTCTTTATACCTATAGCTCCAAAGGGAGTTATGGGTATAAGTTGGATTTCCACTTGCAGAATTGAATCCCAGTTCCTCTAAAATACAATTAAAATAGTCAGCCTTACAAAGACAATGTTGTTACCTGCTTTGTCAGCTGGGACCAGTACATACTGATCGTGTAACCTATCTAATTCTAATTCATTTTTCACTTCTGAATTATTGAAGACAGAAGGATAGATGGTTTTCCCATTGCCCCTCAATCGCATAATGCGAGATTTCAACATCCGTATGATACTTTTAATCCATTCTGACAAAGTGTCAAGGTCTTTTTCATGTTTGACAATGTTAGAAAAAATCCCCTAAAAGTTTTGACGACAAGAAAAAAAAATATGAAGAGATCCCGGATATTACGAAACAGTAAGTAACCATCGTAATTCTATACACATACAATATTTATGTTTTTCCTATTGTAGATAAAGGAAGAACATATGATCCCTTGTTTACCCGTTATACAGGGTATCTCTCATTGGTTGAATTTTTCATATCCCACGCTTTGTATTCTGACTACTGACTTAGATATATAAACAAATACACGTATTTGCATTTGAAAACATGGAAAAACCAAAATAAAATTCCATTACTGAAATCGTTGAAATAATAAATGCACTTTTGTCATTATTCCATTTCCTACCATTTTAGAGGCGCTATTGATGTTGTATTGCGTAAGACAGCTCACGTGAAATCAAAGAGTTTTCAGTGAAATAGTCAAGGCATTAGGACAGTCAGGTGCTCTCTGAACTCTACAATTAAAATTAAAGACAAATGCTTGACATGCTTTTAGTCCTCTAGATTTATTGCAGAAATTATGGGAAATTTCCTATCTTGAGACTTTTTATTGACAAATATACTAGAAATCAAAAATTATTTCTTTGTCATAAGATGCTTTTTCCATTGTCTTCCTTCTGTCAAACGTAAACATTAATGTTTTCACATTTTTGAACTTTAAGTATGATGTAATTATCCTTTTTCTGTATTTTTCTTATATGATAGCATTGTAGATTTAAAAAAAAAAGAATTGTAGCTGACTGAAATGGTCATTTAGTTTTGCTTAAAATATAAACACCCCGCCACCACCACCAGCACACATGTACAGTGAATCTGAAGGCAAAATCACTTCCATAATGATTCATTATATTATTGTTCTTAAATAAGCACAAAGGAAATATTTCAGTATAAACATTTATTGTATAACGTTGTCCACCATTTTTCTCACACACATCTGTACACAATGATCAATAACGAAAAAATAGTCACAAAATTCGGACTTACATTATCAGCATGGACAGAGTGATAATATTCCATACATTCTGTGATAAGAAATGAGGATATATATAATTTATTCTATCATGAAAAATATATTCCAATGGCTATATATATCAAATGAGTATTTATTGTCCAATTGTGGACTAGAATGAAGTTTTTTGTATAAACTTAAATATGGTTCAACGAAAATTAAATATTATGATAATCAGAAAAAACGTGATGAAAATCCAGAGTTTTTTGCTCAATCACTCTGTATGAATAAAACATCACAAAAGTCGGCAAAATGAATCATATTCATCAATGCTTTGAACCTGCGTGTATTCTTGTTTAAAAATTGTTGTGCACATTAAAAAACAATAAAAAAGGACTTCAAAGTCCATACTACTTATCAGAAGACAAAACTGTGACATTCACGCATTGCAATACATAATATATATATCGTATATATTGTAATTATTTTCCGTAACATCTTCCCCTTCATTCCCCTCCATAAAGCGGAGGAATAATGGATAGCACTTTTAAAACTGTCAGCTAAAAGATTAACTGAAAAAAGCCTAAATAAGTCATGATATAGAAGCAAGTGATCAGGTTGTAAATGCACAAGTACATCGTATTAAAAAGACGCCTTGGTTAAATTTGCCACAATAAGATCACACATCAGAGGATACGTGACTCCTCCAGATTTACATAAAAATATTTCACAGTACCCCTGGGATTGCTGCAGCAGAAAAGCAGACTGGAAGAAATCTGCATGTGGTGCAAAGAGGGGAAGAAATGCGAAGTATCAAGCTCATGGTTTGTTTCTTTTTTAGAAGGATAAGGCATTGAAGCTTACAAATGAATATCGATATTTCGTATGCAACTGACAGATAAATGAATCGACTCTGCTATAAGGTTTTTTGATGAATAATTGTTCAGCTGACCATGGTCCATCACAGATTCTATGAAAGTCTAAATGAGTCTTCTCTGTTCGTTACGTTTTGTGACAATCCAATTTCAAAATCCTAAGAAAAGTTTTCTTAAATTGTTGATTAGCTAGCGCATAGCAGAATGGATTTATAGGACTGTTGAGGTAACATAACCAGTATGTAAACTGGTACAATTTCATGTTCACGCATCCCCAACCGTCATCACAAACGCCAATGATTAACACCATTATATGATAAGGCGTCCAGCACACAATGTAGGCTCCAAGAATGAAAGTGATTGTTCTCAATGCTTTCCTGGCTCTATTTTCCGATTTGGAATTCACTTTTTGACGATTTCTCTTGCTTCGTTTTCTTTTGTCTCGCATAGATTGTACAAGGTTGTGAAGTGGGCTCATCAGACTTGGTTTTTCTTTATTTGCATCATTATCAATGTTTCCTTCGCCATTTTTCTTGTCACTAGAGGGCATTGCTGAAGTTCCGTTGGATGGGGTTTTCTTGGACTTGTCTTCCTCGGTGCTCGTATGATTGACATTAGAATCACCCTCAAAAGTTGTGGAAATGGTATTGCTCGATTCCTCTGCAATGGGGATGGGTAAATAGCGCCCTTCTCTCCGTTTCCAAACAGGTGAACATCGCTCATCGGTGGTAGCATCAAAGGATATGCTTCCATCGGGATAAATCTTGAGATTATCATTCGACGTAAGAGTTTTCAGGCTATCCTCCTCTATATACTTGCACCCTTGCAAAACATCGTTCTCAAGCAGTTTATCGGTTTGTTTCGATGACTTTTCGTATGTTTCTGGTATGACTTTAGTATATGATGGAGGTGCTTCTTCTATCAAAGCTTTTGTGGCATTTGTATCCTCGTTTCCATCTGTCTCGGTTTCTGAGCCAGAGGTACCAGTTATAGTAAGTGCTATTTTAGAGACATGATTAAAGGACATTCCTAGCATTCCTTTCAAAGATGGTCGATATGTTGTGTCGGTTTGAACTGCACTATTAACAAAGCATGTTTGCTCGTCGTCATCAACATCATTGGTTTTATAATGCATTTTTGACAGACCACAAGCTCCCTGGCTACTGTTATTTTCTTCATCAGATTCAAATACAGGTGAACTCGAACGATCCTCTTCCGGTGCCTTTGTAAAGCTTGTGGACTCATCTGGACGCATTGGTCTTCCGTTGTTGTTTTCAGCACTAAGAGTATTGTTATCCGTCGCTGACGTAGTTCTGATAGACTTGGCGGCTTGCTTGTTTTTAGAAAGTTCCATGGCAGTGGCCATCTTTTTATGCTTGGCTTCTGCTTTCTTTTGCAGTGCGAGAGCCACACAATAGATCCCTGTATACAGTCCTATCATTACACAAAGAGTTGTCCAGTAGTAGCCAATTGTCAACAAAAATGTAAACAATGGGTCACTCATGAATTGGACCTCACATTGGTCAGATGCAACAGTTCGCTTACCAACAAAATATTGCCATCCAACAATAGACGTGAAGAAAATCAGAGTCGGAAATATCCATGTTAAGGATATCATAATTATCACTTTTTTCTCAGTCCGCCATTGCCGATATTTGGCGGGAATTTTGACGGAGCAAAATCTGTCCACCGTAATAAAGAAGACAGTGTATTGAGAGGCAAGACACACGGTCCAATCTAATGATAACCACAAGTCACATATTAATTCACCGAGAGGCCAGTATCCTAGAAGCAGATACAACGTAAAACATGGCATGGAAAAAGATCCTATAAGCAAGTCCGATACAGCAAGGGAAGCAATGAAATAATTTGTAGGTTGGCGGATGGTCCGTTCCAAAGCAAATGACAGCAGTACAAGAACATTTCCAGCAAGCGTTATAATGACAATGAACGCCACCAGAATCCCGAGGATGATAGTCAACCACAGGGGATGAGGAGATTCGATCGGGGGAGCGGCCGTAACATTGCCATTTGTGCAATTATCACACAGAGTTGTGTTCATATTCATAGCCCATGTAGAGAGGGCAGAACGAGTTGTGATGGAGAGTCCGGCCATTCTAATTTTTTTCATATACTGCCTAGAGAAATCAAGACAGTGACTGAGTATTCAAATGTCATGATTTCATCAGCTCAGTTCCATCCCCGCAGACGAATGATAGACACACATTTTTGATTGAGTGAAACAACGCCAAGTACGATAAGGTTCAACTGGTCATCGTCTGCTCATCTGTAAAATACAAAGTAGAAATTTTCGCTTAATAACTTTGATATACAGAAGACATTCTATACTGTAATTATTATATGAGAGATCGATGCCGTGAACATTGATCAATCAGTCGGAAGATAATCATCTTTTCTATTTTTCTTTGTAATGGAATGAAAAATCGGACGCTAGTGTGTGAATTAGGGTATCGAAAGAGATAATTGCGGTCGTAAGTCAGCTGCAAAAAAATGGTAGACTTTGCTTTTCGGATGTTACTTTAATACTTAAAACTAGAAAAAAAAATGAATTGTAGCAAATTCTCCACAACCTTAACGCTGTCTTAAAAAAAACTTATATAATTTTATTCAAGAATCAGTATAATCAGAGAACATTTGAAATTGATTATTGTAGAACAATCATTGGAATTGACTATCATTATCCTATAAAATATTCTAAAATCTAAATGACTTTTAATTGTCATTCTTTACAACGTTTTCAATCGTGATTTCCTGATGAATCGAAATAATATCAAATATGATAAATTATTAGTTTCGAAACACAGAGAGAAAGAGAGAGAGCTTTTACTGGTTCAGTAGTCAGCCGCGCGTCATAGCCACATGAATATTTAATATCCACATCCCAAACTACTGCATGCACCTTCGTATTTTTTTTTCCCTATGAATATTGATGACGGGTGCACAGAAGCAAATAGTATCAATTATTCCCCTGAGGGATTTTACAATTATACTGTCATAGGAACGTCCAATGAAAGAGAATTTTAACTTAAAAGTGCAAAAAATGGATAAGTGCAATGGATAAGTGGAACATCATTCACCCAAAGATGACATGCAAAGAAAATGTTACAAAAACAGATGATAGGAGGTAATGAATGTATCGCTGGCAATATAAGTGGCCCAGAGGAGTTTTAGCATGTTTGGGAATTTTTCCTCTCTGTTAAAGGAATCCTGAAAATTTTTGACAGAAAAGGGAAATGGCTGTACGTGATAAATCCGTTTTACTGTCTACAAGTACAAAATCTTGATTTATGTTTAGAAAACCATCTCTTTTAACATATGCTCTTACTACAAATTTATCGACTGAACATATCTTCTTTGAGTCAGGTATTTCTGTGTAGTATTTACATAGCATTAAGTTTAATTGTTGCAAATAAAAGTCGAAAGATTTTTTTTCAACGTGAAATGAATAGCACTCATTGCCCATTATTTTATCAATCAGACGTATACGTTATTTACTTAAAATTGCGTACTATTTATCAATGAATTTAAATATGAAGAAAAAATGTGAACAATAAGAACGAGATAACAATAGACACCCCCCCCCCAAAAAAAAAATAATAATAAATGAATAAATAAATAAATAAATAAAAAGGATGCAAGCTTGAAATCCCAAAGGAAAAGCAAGCAACTACGGATTTAAAGTAATGGAAATTATCCAAATCGTATCAAACATATTGGACACCGTCTTCTGGTAACGTTACAACTATAACCTCAGAAATATGCTTTAGTAAAGAATTCATCAACGTAGTTAGAATCCGCAAAAATGTCTTAAGCGCCAAATATTCTGAATGCAACTGTTGTTTGGTGCAAAATGATAAAATGGAACTAGTTTCCAACACAATTTCTACATCAAGGTAAGATTAACAACTTCTATGGGTCGTTTCTCTTGTTATTTCTGTATGATCCAAAAACACAACACCCATAACCAAAATATCTTGGTAATCCATAGAAAACAAAGTCTAGAAATACTGTTCTGTTTAAACAATCGATTCATCAATTATACAGTGCATTCAACACGTGAAAATGCATAATTAATTGTGTCAAAATAGCTCGGACGTTTACATTTCGTTTACATCCTTTAGAAAATTTAGCTTTAAGACAATCTACTGTTTAAACATTTCCGTTATTTCAAAGGTATACCCCCGGCGAAAGTACACTTACTTCCTTAAACATTAAATAAAAATCAGGATCAACATCCTGCAGCAAAACGCAAGAAATCAATGTGGGAAAAAACCGCCAGAGCTTTGTCGAAAAGTGGTGATTTAAAGCTATGCTATGCACTCCACAATTTCATTGCAATGAAGGTTTTTTTTTTCTTTCCCCCCAAGAACACGATTTATTCCCCAAATAGTCATCAGAGATTTTATCAGTTAAGATATTAGGGTCTACGCTTTTAATTTTGATGAATGCTAGATAGAATCTTAATGACTCCCGTTATGATAGTTTCCTGTGGTAGCCCTTGATGTGTCGATAGAATATCATTATGATGCAGTAATTTGATCAAACTATCGATGTTAAACACATTTATGACGGACATATGTGCAGCCTGAATAATCTGATAGGAAAATTTATATGCAATGAATTTAGTATGCTCAATGCCCACAGATCATTATTTAAAAAAAAAATCAGTGAAAAGTCATGTCTGGTTGTTTTAAATGAGGAAGCAAACATTTTCTTTTTTCGTCTGTCATTTCGTGCATGGAAATTGTGAAAATTGAGGAAATAAGAAAAGTTAATAATTTTCATTGTTATAATAATAGCATAATGTGCATAAAAGATCGCTTGTCTTCTCTGTAAAAAAAATATGTATTTATTGAAAGCCAAATTGAAAGGCAGTCCAACTTTCAGAGACTCAACCATCACAATTACTAATTATGTAAAACGATAGAATCTCTACAACTTCTTTGAAGTTTTTCTTTTAAATAAGACATTTTAACTGATAAAAAAAGTCTCACATCATGACATTCAACAAGAGAACTAATAGACTTTGCCTTTAATGAGATCAACTTGAAATCGATCTGAACAAGCTTTTATGAAATACAAAACATAAGTACCCATCTTTCTGATTAATATTTCAAATCCTGTTGTAAAATCAAAGGAGCTAAAGTCAATACAAGCATGCAGGTCGCAGATGCAATTATCACATAAACCTTGTAAGTTCAAAATTGGAAACAGTTCTTATCGGCTGCAATCTAAATCAAAATGATTAATTTTACAAACTGATGATGATGTAACACATTTTCTAATGGCCGATTGCCGCGTCAATTTCTTAACCGATGTCCTTGATATGGAATCAGAAATGCTTTTGTTTGTTTTTTTTTAAAAGAAATTAACTATCTTCGATACAAAACGTCTATAATTTGCTTCTGTGGAATCTTTGCGATTCATGAGATTGGCGTCATAAAGCAGCCGCAATCACTGACCAAAAGTGACCAATGGTTATCACTTTTGACATATGCTACACGTAATTGACACTACCACCCGCGCAATCAACGGGTCAAGAACACCGCATTTCCTTATTAGGTAGCCCCAAATCCCAAGGAATTCCACCCCCATTGTAGCAGACGACACGCCAAAGGGCCAAGGGAATTCTAAATCGATCCATTTTTTTTCTACCAATGGTCATATATATTAGTGCTTGACAATCAATTGTCGCTAATGAATTCACTGTTTGTTTAAGTGCAAACTCAATATTTGGGTTTGCAATCGGAGTTTTATCTTAACATTGAAATGTTGACCAAATCCGAGCTTATTTCTGTCTCTAAGTAAATTGGTGGATCGAATCACGCTATGATTGAATGTTTTATGTTTATCAACGTTATATCTACCAGATATTGTCCCGGTACCAATAAAGACAGAATAGAGCTCTAATACAACAGATGTTGCTCAATGGCAGTCATTTGGGTACACCACATTCATTTACTTATGTGCATATAAATACAACAAACCCTTTCAGACTAAAGGACAAATTGCAGTGAGTTGACTAAATTAGAGAAAGAACTAAATTGAATTGTGTGATCATATGTCGCTCTTATTGTACAGTCATCTGTTATTCTGAGATTAGCCTTCATGTCGAAGTGCTCTAAAATGTTTCAAACGTTTAGCCATTAAGTTAAAAAGCATGTAGCCATTTTTCCTTCTTTTTTGTGGCGATTTCCATGCCATACAGATCAATTTTAACATCGTAAATGCTCCAAATAATAAAATTACAATATGGAAGCGAAATTCCATCTTCAAAAGCAATGAGTCTTATCTGTCCGAACACATTATGTTCACCATAATCTGTTTTTAATGACAGCTAGATGTTAACAAATCAAAATGTTTACGGGTTCGATTTTTCCTTTTTTTCAAGATGAATTCCGTGTTTTGGAGAAATAATGTGGTCAGAACACTCAATATAAGTTCACAGGAAAAAAAGACAAAACAAAAGTAATCAAATCATTTCTGATTCCATATCAAGGACATCGGTTAAGAAATTGTCGCGGGAATCGGCCATTAGAAAAGGCTGTATTTAATTACACGCTTTCAACAATATTACAATGGCCAATTTTTGCGGACAATAAAATGACGAGCTTGGACACAAAGGAAATGAAAGAGCACAGACAATGAGGGTTTTATTGATTAAAAGTGTAGTACCTATCTTAGGACCTAAAGCAAAGACTCTTCTGTCGGGATGCATAATATCAGAATTCAGCTACATCATGGGCAAATCCGATCAACGACCATGCTCAAGGGGACTGGATGTACCCTTTAGAATTTTTAACTTTGTAACTACTTTTTATAGAAAGCAACATTCTTTTTGTATCGTTGTAATATGTAAAATTATGGGAAACTAACCCCCGTTCCATTTCTAAATGGCTCATATTTCTCCCACAAAAAAGTTCAAATTATCAGCTTGTGAATTTAGAATATATACTGGGTGGTGGTAAATACCAAATTTACACCATGATAATAAATACGAAAATTTATATGATAACATTCAAAACTTACGAGCGCAAAAGAGATTAAATTTTGATTCATTCTAATAATCGTTAAACACATGATAAAGAACTACTTCTACGATTTCAAGCATTTCCTTGCTCACTTTTTGTTATTAGTGTGGCTTTGTTACATGTAATATGATTATTTGCTACCAGCAAAAAACTGCCAATTTCCATATCTGCCAATAAAATATCATTAGTGATGTCAAATTGCAAATTACAGTCGAAACATTACACCAACCCGATA